TCCTCCTCCTCCTCCTCCTCCTCCTCCTCCTCCTCCTCCTCCTCCCCCTCCCCCTCCTCCTCCCCCTCCTCCTCCTCCTCCTCCTCCTCCTCCTCCTCCTCCTCCCCGCCCGCGGCGAAGCACCGCGGGGCAGGGGAGCCGCGCCGGGAGAGGGGCAGAGGACGAGGACAACATCGGGTTAGGATAACATGAAGGCGAACCCTCTCTCTATATACATACACACAGGCGTTTTTTTCCGGCGCGCACTGAACTGCGCACAGGAAAGCGGGTCGTGCATACGGGATCCTGGTGTGTATACAATTTTCGTTGTCTCCCCGGGAAAACGGGGAAAACATAATACACCACACCACCCCGACGTCGTCCCCGACCCACGAAAAAGTCCTGGGATTGAGTCACGGCCCGCCACTGGTAATGTATACGTTCCAGCTCCCGAAATAAATCGAGAACCTCTGAGAGCCGGCGGCTCTGGAGGATGTCTCGGGCGCCGCGGCCGTCACAGAACGTCCCAGCACGCTCGGAGACCGTTCCACAACGCTCTGGGAGGGATTTGTCCTCGTCCTGGCTTCGTCCGAGAGGTGTCTGTGGCCGTGGTGCGCGGGGCGAAACGATCTACATCGGCACGTTGTGCGCGGGCGCGGCGGGCGGCTCGGCGAGTCTGGGGCGCAGGTGCGTCAGCAGCGCGGCGTGGTCCGAGGGGAATCTCAGGGTCGGAAAGGGCGCGTCCGGGTCGAACTTCCCGCGCGTCCCCTGGTTGTCGCGGAGGGGCGCGCAGGTGGTCTCCAGCTGCGCGCCGTCGAACAAGATGTAGTCCTTGGGTTAGGTCGGGCGTGTCCTCCTACAGGCGGATTGTCGACGACAAAGAGCAAAACGAGAAAATGTCTCAAATACAAAAATCATATAGTTCCTCTTTTTAAGTAAAAAGCGCATTGTACATATATATATATATATATACATATATGAAAACAAAAAACAGAAAAGTCTCCAGGCTATGTTTAAAATATTCTCGAATATTCCTCCTGTGGAGGGACACGCCCGACTTAGTCCTTGGGGTGCCTGTCCGTGCTGGGGTCGGTGGCCGCCGCCGTGCGGCTGACTGCCTTGTTGAGCTGCGGCTGCAGGTACGTCCTCCACTCCCCGCACTTCAAGAAGGGGAGGGGAGCGGTTTTTATTTGGCGTTTCGACATTGGGCGGAAGGGGGGGGAGGGGTGGGGGGGGTCTGGCTCTGGACCTCTGCTTAGTGCCACTGATAGCACCCTCTCGAAACAGGCGCATAATAACAGCCACGATCTACTCCATGGGGGGGGGAGGAGGGGTTTCGTGGCCCGCGCCGATCGGCGAAAGAATGCATAAACAAAAACGATCATCTGCAGAACTGATTCATACCAGCATGGATTTCGCCTACATTGAATTACCCCACATGGATTTGCCCCAATTCGAAGGGAACTCAATTTTGTAGCCGGTCTCCTACTCGAGCATCGCCTTCACTCTTCTCCCTCTGCCCTCGCTGCTCAACCTCCCTCCGGAGAAGGGTAATGCACCAGGGCCTCCAGGGGTACCCCCCGACATGTGACGACCTCGGGCGGATTCGACTGTCGAGGTTCTGCCTCGCTGGCGGCAGAAGAACCCCATCGCAACAACCGCCCCACCCCGCTGAACATAGCCCCCCCCCCTCTCGCCGCTAAGCACACCCACACACATACACGAACAAACGAACAAACACACACACACACACACGCGCGCGCGGGCACGAACACATTGTTCCCTCCGTCAGCGATGTGGAACCACAATCGCGTTCAACAACATGACCAGACAACGATCATTATAGATTGTCAACCTGCGTTGGCTAGAACAAACATGCTGCTCAAACGCGCTCGGCGTTCTGTGAAGCCGTGCAACATGCAAAAATAACTACCCTGGCAAATGTTGAACGGACATCACGTTACCTCCCTGATTTCCGCAAGCGCAATGGTGATCGTTTTCTTATTCGGCGTTTCAACAGTTGGGCGGACAAGGGGGGGAAGGAAGGGGGGGGGTCTGGCTCCGACCTTAGCTTAGTGCGACTGTTTGCAACAATGCGTCCTGTGGGAAAAGACCCGACCGGCTTGAGACAGGCGCCAAAAACAGCCAGGATCTACTCCATGAGGGGGGGAGGGGGTGCGAGGGCCCGCGCCGATCGGCAAAACAATGAATGAGAGAACGACGACAAACCACACTGCTGGGGGGAGGGGGGGTGCGAGAGCCCGCTTCGATCGGCAGAACAATGAACAAGAGAACAACGACCAAGCACACTGCTGGGGGGAGGGGAGTGCAAGGGCCCGCGCAAGCGCCCGCGAAGATCTGCAAAACAAGGAGTAAGTCAACGTCCCTTAGTTCAGGCTCTGCCACGGCTGCATAGATGTAGGGGCGTGTGCTGGAGTGGGCGTGGAGGCCCTGACGTTTATGTCGGCTCTGATGGTCATTCTTCGACCTCTTCCTCCTCTTGTGGGGGATCGGGCATTGGTCCTAAACCGATACACACCTGCCTTCCCTGCCCAGGCCATTTACTTGCCACTTACATGTCTCTTTCTACGTATAGGTGCATGTGTTTGTTTATGTGTTTACGTGCGTGTGCATGTATAAGTATATACACATGTGTACACCCATATACATGCATACACACTATATATATGTGTATATGTATACATAGACATGTACTTATGTGAATATATACAAATACATTATTAATAGTATTCGTACCAGGTTCTTTGCCCAACATTACAAGCCTCAAGCCTCACTCCTGAAGAATCTCCAAAAAGGCCCAGGCTCAAAACTCTTCAATCTCGCCGGGTTGGTCACGTCGCCTCGGGATTGTTGCGCAACTTGTTCGCGCCCAAGAGGGCCCCAAGACGAACCCGGGGCCCTACTGGGGGCCGTCTTGGGGCCTTCTTGGCCCACCAAAAGGGCTCCAAGCGGCCCCCCGAGTCGCCGGACACCCAAGAGGACTCCAAGACACTCCAAGAGGTCTCCTAAAGGCCTCCCAAGACGGCCCCAAGAGGCCCAAATCATTGTTTTTCCGTGAAAGGGTTTGAAGGATCGTGGCGTTCTCGCCTTCTCCGCTTCCCGACGCTCCGAGACAGCCCACGAAGCCCACCAGATCGTCCCAAGATTTCCAGGGGCCCCCAAGACGGCCCAAGACGGCCCCAAGGCGGCCCAAGAGGCGCCCAATACGGCCCAAGAGGACTCAATGACGGCCCCAAGAGGGGGACCCTATGGGGCAAGAGGGGGCACATATGCGAACCCGAACTGACATTTTGAGCCCTCGGCCCTGAGGTGCCCCCAGGAAGCCCCAAGGGGCCCCCAAGATGCCCCCAAGGGGCCCCGAGAGGCCCCAAAGAGGCCCCGAAGAGGCCCCCGAAGAGGCTCCGAAGAGGCCTCCAAGAGGCTCCCAAGAGGCCCCCAAACTGCTCCCAAAAGGCCCCCGGAGCGTTCCCTCCTCCTCCTCCTCCTCCTCCTCCTCCTCCTCCTCCTCCTCCTCCTCCTCCTCCTTCTCCTCCCTCTCCTACCCATGGTCGTGGTGGTGGAGCATCGGCCCACCACAGAGCGCTCTCGGCGAGAAGCAGCCGCTGAAGAGCACCCCGAGGCCGGAAAGTCGCCGAGAACCGACAACCGAAGACCACTGCCTCGAGAATCTCAAACCTCTCGAGCCCGTCGCCTCCCCGCGAGCCTCTCCCGCTCCAGCGTCGCCCCTGATCGGGTGCGCTGACTGGCGTCGCAACGCGCGCCCTCCTCGTTGCTACGACCAAATGTAAAAACAAAACCTACAGTTGAGGCCGTTCCAAAAGAAACCTCCCCCAAGAAACCCAATCCTGTGACCCCAGGACGTCCCTTGATTTTTGGTGTGGGAGCGTCACGCTGCCCATTGCAAAAGCATCGGAACCCAAGAAACCCAGGGCACCTTTGGAGGCAAGCAGGGTGTGTTTCTTGGCGTGGGCCTCCACTGCAGAACCGCTTGCATCCACCATGAAAGTACCCCCCCCCCAGGGCCTCTATTTTGGACGCCCGAAATGGGTACGAAAAGAATGGGCACAATGCCCAACAACAAATGTTGTCCTATGCAACAGCGGCCGCTGTTGGGCAAGCGGCCTTCTGTCTCAGATGGACGCAGGCCGCGGCGGCGCAGACAGCGAGTCCTGTTCAAAATGAACAGGAACTGCTTTTGGGCACCGTACCCATTCTTTCCGTACCCATTTCGGGCGTCCAGATATATAGAGCACCCCTCCCCAGGCCTGGAGGGCCCGGGGGCTCCAGGACTACGCGAAAAAGACTGGGGGGCACCGTGGACCAGGGGGCACCTCGCAACCCCCAAACTGAGCATTCGGTGGCCACTCAAAGGTAGCCTCCCATGCCATATTGTCGGCTCCTGCGAATCGACGCCAATCGACGCTGGCCGACGCCAATCGACGCACGCCAAATCGACGCTAAATCGACGCTAATCGGCGCTGAATCGGCGCTGTCTCAACGACTCCCAGACGCTAATCTGCGCGAATCGGCGCTGAAGCCAGAATTGAGAAAGTAGACCAGGCTCCCATGACTTGCTGCCGACATAGAGGCCGCATAGATGGGGTCCGAGTAGATGAGGTCGAAGGATCGTGCCGTGCCGCATCGCACATGCATCGGCGATGCATCGATGATGCATCGGCGATGCATCGGCGACGTCGGCGATGCATCGGCGACGTTGGTTTTGGGAAAGTCGGTCTCCACATCGAGCCGCATCGCCGATGCATCGGCGATGCGACGCGATCCTCCGACCCCATCTACTCGGACCCCATCTAGGCGGCCTAGACAAACAAGTAAAGATAGTCAAGCAACATTTTGAAACATACGTTCTTTTGCAACAAAAAACGAAACTCGTCCCTTGACTACCTTTGGACTGTTCTGAAATATTCCTCCTGTAGAGGGACATGCTCGACTTTCAGGGCTTCCCAGGCTCCCGTGAGGGCCCTCCCTCGAGTTCAGCCAGGCGCGTCCCTCTACTGGCGGAGTATTCGAAAATAGTCAACAAAGAATAATACGGGGACGATTGTTTGAACATGCTTCACAATTTTTGGGTATGTTGGACAATTTTTAGGTCGGGCCTGTCCCCCTGCATTGGGATTGTGGGCGAAACAATAAAACAAATCCCCCAAATACTCCCGAAATATCAAACATACAAGAAAAATGGTTCCCAGACTATGGTTTGACTATTTTTGAGTATTCCTCCTGTAGAGGGACAGGCCCGACTTACGAATATTTCTTGGTTTCGCCCAACCCCCCCCCCCGCAGGAGGACGGGCCCGACTCGGCCCTCGGGCCGTCCTTTGGGCGCCCGAGTTATCCAGGGTAACTCGGGTCGGGGGTAACTCGGGCTTGGGTTCCCGAAAAAGGAACCCGCGTGAGCCCTGACCCGAGTTACCCCTGACGATGTGGGGCTCTGGACGCCCGAATTATCCGGGGTAACTCGGGTCCGGGGTAACTCGGGTTCGGATTCCCGAAAAACGAACCCGAGTTATCCCTGACCCGAGTTACCCCTGATGACTCGGCCCTCGGGCCCGTCCTGGCGTTGAAGGTCGTGCAGCACTCCGCGGGCGCCTCGGCGCAGCGCCCCTCCCAGCAGTCCGCCAGGCCCAGCCCCGCGCAGGCCCCCACGAACTCCTCGGGAGCGGCCAAGAGTGAAGGGGCCCCAGGACACACAAATAAATGCACACAAATAAAAGGATTCCCCATATTTTCTGGGCTTCTGTCGTCCCCCCCACTTCCCATATTTCCCCATATTTTCTGAGGAATCGGGGATTAATTGTGTCTGTGTGTTTTTTCCTCTCCTGAAAGAGGGGGGTGTCCAAGAGGGGGGGGTGCAAATCATGACCGGCGGCACGTGCGCGGCCCAGCGGGGGGGCCAGGGACGTGAGGGAATGAGAAGGGGCGCCAGGAGATCTGGGGAAAGATCATGGCCCCCGCCCTGATAGCCACCCCCCCCTAGTCATCACTCCCCTCTTTGCCGCCCCCGAACTCCGCGGCGCCCAGCTTCTTGCCGGGGACCCCGGCGCAGTGCGCGTTCGCATCCAGGCCTCCGGGTACCCGGGTACTCCAAATCCGTTCTTATAGTCGGACTCGATTGGACAGGACGCGCGAGAGGACACAAGACCCTTCCGAGGGCCACATGGCCACATGAATGCAGGAGGCACGGGCCGCGAGACACAGGACACGAGGGTACCCTTGATCTGGCAGGGTCGACCTACCAATCCGGGCCGACTGTACTCCAAATTCCTTATTTCTCGTCCCCCGGGTCCGGTCTTTCGAGGCGCCTTTTTGGAAACTGGGGGAGTATCCGGTTTACTGGGGCGCTTTCGTTGGATTGGAGCTTAGGGGGTCCAGTTTATTGAGGCGCCCCGTCGAAGAGGGGGCTCCGGAGAATTAGGTCGCATTTAGAGTGGGGTCCGATTTTCTAGGGGGGGGTCGATTGATAAGGGATTTGGAGTAAGACGAAGCCAGGGTGAGGACAGCTTCGGGTGAGGATGAATCTTCGGTGGCAGCTCAAGGGAGCCAGCCTCCCATACCATCCTGTCGGGTCCTGCAAGTCGGCGCTCGTCGACGCTAGTCGACGTTAGATCAACGCCAACCGACGCTGGCCGACGCTAAATCAGCGCGACCTCATCGCCTCCCAGACGCTAACCGACGCTTCTCGACGCTGAAGACGGAATTCCGATGGTATACCAGGCTCCCATGATTTGCTACCGGAAGGCCTCTGGGACCCAGGCAAGACGAAGCCAGGACGAGGAGCAATTCGGGTGAGGATGCATCGAGAGTCTCGAAGATCCCGCGGCTCTGGCACGGCCTTGCTGACCCCTCCCATACCATTCCCCTTACGTGACGTCACCCTCGCCTCTCAAGCTTCGCGCCTGCTGCATACGCACCGCACGTATTTGGGCGAGGCGAGGGGGGCGTCACGGAAGGGGAGGGTTTGCTAGGGGTCGGTTAGGCCGCCCCTGAGCAGTGCGCGTTCGCATCCAGCCCACGGAGGGCTCGTGCGGGGAGCTGAACTCAGGAGCGAACGATACGACGTGCGTGCATATGATTTTTCGTGGCCTTCGAGCGTGCATTGCGCGAGCGTTCAGGGCCCCGAGTTATCAGGGCAGGGGTTGGTCAAAGATACTCTTGTTTCGTGCCGGAGTTGTCCTGGATGTCATTCAACTCGAACTTCCCGTATTACATTCGGCCGAATGTAGATTCCAGATCTAGCGGTTCCATCGCTTTCCGGGATTTTCCGCCACCGTGCCCTTGAGGCACGAGTTGGAGTGTCCGCAGGTGCATTGTGCTGTCCTCTGGAGCCTCAATCCTGAATCCTCTGGATTCTTCAAAATTTTTTGGGCCCAAGAAGGCCCCGAGACGGACCAAGAGGTTCCCGAGAGACCCAAGAGGGCCTCCAACCGCCGAAACGTCGCTCCAAGACCCCCAAGACGATCTCAAAACTGCCCAGGATGCGCCCCAAACGGCACCAGAGGCCATCAAAAGGCCTCCCGAAAAGGCACCCAGAAGCAAACATCCATGATTGTCATGCAAGTTTTTACCACAGTTGGAATTTTCTGCCTTTTCGGCTTGCCGGCACTCCCAGACGGACGGCCCACGAGGCCGCAAATATCACCTCAAGAGGCTTCAACAAAAAGGCCCGAGAAGGCCCCGAGACCGCCCAAGAGGCCTCCAAGACGGCCCACGAGCCCCGCCACTGCAGCTCGAAGAGGGGGCCCCGACGGGGAACTCGAAAGGACACTTCGAGCCCTCGGCCTCAAGAGGCCCCCAGAGGGCCCCCAGAGGCCCCCTAGAGGCCCCCAAGAGGCACCCAGGAGGCCCCAACATGCCCCTAAGAGGCTCCCAAGAGGCCCCCCAAGGGCCCAAAAACCATCCCCAAGCAAGAGGCCCCCCAAACTATCCACAAGAGGCACCCGAGAGCGTTCCGAAGAGACTCCAACAAGCATCCCTGAGCACTCTGGCCCCAACTCCAGGCACCCTGCAGGGATGGGCCGAACGACGCCATTGGATATTGGGGGGGGGGGGGGGGTACGAAGGAGGGCTCTACCCAAATCAAGTTTCTCCCGGATGATCCCGTTGCCCAAGTCGTTCACTGAGGGGCGTCGGACAATAAACCCCATTCTGAAAATAGACGCGAACTCCCGCTGCAAACATCCCACGAAGACTGGAACATCAATGTCCACGGCGGGCTCGTCAAAAAGCGTAGGCGAACACATCTGGCGCACTCGAGTCTTACGTTCCCAAATTTTATCAGGGCTCCATGAGCCCTGCGACGTGCCCAACCCATCGACACCAAGGGATGACATGAGGCGCGCCAGAAATAGCGCAACAACAACACCGCAAGAGACGGTACACGGCGGATATCTACATCGTGCGAATCGTCGTCGTCGCCGTCATCAGCGCCGTCGTCGTCGTCGTCGTGGTCGTCGTCGTCGTCATCGTCGTGGTCGTCGTCGTCGCACGTCGTCGGCGTCGTCGTCGTCGGTCGTCGTCGCCGTCGTCGTCGTCGTTGTGGTTGTCGTCGTCGTCGCTGTCGGCGTCGTCGTCGTCACACGTCTTGGTCGTGGCCGTCGTCGTGGTTCGCCGTCGTTGTCGTCGCCGTCCTCGTCCCACGTCGTCGTCGTCGTCGCGGTCGTCGTCGTCGTCGTAGTCGTCGTACCACGTCGTCGTTGTCGTGGTCGTTGTCGTCGTCGTCGTCAAGGTCATCGTCGTCGTCGTCGTCCACGTCATCGTCGGCGTTGACCCACGTCGTCGCCGTGGTGGTGGTCGTCGCCGTCGTCGTGGTCGTCGTTGTTGTCGTCGTGGTCGTGGTCGTCGTGGTCGGGATCGTCGTCGTCATTGTCGTCGTCGCCGTCGTCTTCCCACGTCCACGTCGTCGTCGTCCACCGCCGTCGTCGTCGTCGTCGTCGTCGTCGTCGTCGTTGTCGTCGTCTCACGTCGTCGTCATGGTCGTCTCACGTCGTCGTCGTGGTCGTGGTCGTCCTACGTCGTAATCGTGGCCGTCGTCGTCGGCGTGGTCGTCCAACGCCGTCGCCGTCGTCGCCGCCGTCGTAGTCGCCGCCGTCGCCATTGTAGTCGTCGTCGTCACCGTCGCTATCGTCGTCGTCGTCGTCGTCGTCGTCATGGTCGTCGTCGTCGTCTCCGTCGTCGTCCCTCGTCGTCGTCGTGGTCGCGGTCGTCGTCGTCGTTGGCCGTGGTGGTCGTGGTCGTGATCGTCGTGGTCGTGGTTATCGTTGTCGTCGTCGTCCCACGTCGTTTCCCTAGTCGTTGCCGCCGTCGTCGTCGTGATCGTCTTCGTCGTCGTTCTCACGTCGTCGTGGTCGTCGTCGTCGTCGTCGTCGTCGTCGTCGTCGTGGTCGTCGTCACTGTCGTCGTGGCCGTCGCCGTCGTCGTCGACGTGGTCGCGATCGTTGTCGTCGTGGTCGTGATCGTCGTCGTCGTCGTCGTCGCAATCGTCGTCGTCGTGGTCGTCGTCGTCGATGTCGTCGATGTTCGTCGTCGTCGTTGTCGATGTCGTCGTCGTCGTCGTCGTCGATGTTCGCCGTCGTTGTCGTCGTTCGCGTAGTCGTGCCACGTCGTCGCCGTAGTCGTCGCCGTCGTCGTCGGGGTCGTCGTCGTCGCGGTCGCCGTCGTCGTCCTCGACGTCGTCGTGGCCGTTGTCATCGTCATTGTCGCCGTCGTCGTCCCACGTCGTCGTCGTCGTTGTCGTGGTCCTACGTCGTCGTCGTGATCGTGGCCGTGGACGTCGTCGTCGTCGTTCGCCGTGTTTGTCGTCGTCGTCCTCGTTGTCGTCGTCGTCGCCGTCGTCGTCGTCGTCGGCGACGTCGTGAAGGCCGTCGTCGTCGTCGTCGTCGTCCACGTCGTCGTCGGCATTGTCCAACGTCGTCGTCGTGCTCGTCGTCGTCGCCGTCGTCATCGTCGTGTGCGCCGTCGACGTGGTCGTGGTCGTGGTCGTCGTCTTCGTTGTCGTCGGCGTCGTCGCCGTCGTCGTCGTCATCGTCGTCGTGGTCGTCGATGTCGTTGTCGTCGTTCCGAGTCGCGGCCGTCGTCGTCGTCGTCGTGGTGGTCGTCGTCGACGACGTCGTCCTTCGCCGTCGTTGTCGTCGTCAGCGGCGTCGGCCGACGTCGTCGTCGCCGTCGTCGTCGTTGTGGTCGTCGTCGTCGTGAGAATCGTCGTCGTAGCCATCGTCGTCGTCGTGGTCGTCGATCGATGTCGTCGTCGTGGTCGTCGTCGTTATTGCCGTCGTTCCACGTCGCCGTCGTCATCGTCGTGTGCGCCGTCGTCGTTGACGCCGTCGTCGTCGTCGTCATGGCCGTGGTCCTCGTCGTCGTGTTCTTCGTCGTGGTCGTCGTCGGCGTCGTCGCGGTCGTCGTCGTCGGGGCAATCGTCGTCGTGGCCATCGTCGTCGTCGTCGTTGTCGTGGTCGTCTTTCGACGTGGTCGTCGTGGTCGTCGTCGCCACCGTCGTGGTCGTGGTCGTGGTCGTCGTCGTCATCGTGGTCGTCGTTGTCGTCGTCGTCGTGGTCGTCGTCGACGTCGTCGTGGTCGTGGCCGTGATCGTTGTCGTCGTCGTCATCGTCAGCGTCGTCGTCCATCGTCGTCGTCGCCGCCGTCGTCGCCGTCGTGGGCGTCGCCGTCGTCCTCGCTGTCGTCGTTGTGCAACATCGTCGTCGCCCCCGTCGTCGTTATCGTCATGGTCGTAGTCGTCGTCGGCGTCGCGGCTGTGGTCGTCGTTGTTGCTGTCGTTAACGTCGCCGTGGTCGTCGTCATCGCCGTCGTCGTCGTCGTGGTCGTCATCGTCGTCGTGGTCGTCGCCGTCGTCGTGATCGTTGTCGTCGTGGTCATCGTCGTGGTCGTCGTGGCCGACATGGTCGTGGTCGTCGTCGTCTTGGTCGTCGTCGTCGTCTTGGTCGTCGACGTGGTCATCGTCATCATTGTCGTTGTCAGCGTCGTCGTCCCACGTCGTCGTCGCCGTCGTCGTTGTCGTCGCGGCCGTGGTTGTCGTAGGTGTCGTCGTCGCCCCACGTCCTTGTCACAGTCGTCGCGTCCGTGGTTGTCGTGGTTGTCGTCGTCGTCGCCGTCGTCGTCGTTATGGTCGTCGTCGTCGACGTCGTTGTCGTCGTCGTGGTCGCAGCCGTGGTCGTCGTCGTCGTCGCAGCCGTGGTCGTCGTCGTCGTGGTCGTTGTCGTTGTCGTGGTCGTCGTCGTGGTCGTCGTCGTTGTCGTCATCGTCGTCGTGGTCGGCGTCGTGGTCGTCGTCGACGTGGTCGTCGTCGTCGTCGCCGTCGTTGTCGTCGTGGTCGTTGTCGTCGTCGTCGTCACCGTCGCCGTCGTCGTCGTCGTCGTGATCTTCGTCGTGTCGTTGTCGTGGTGGCCGTGGTCGTCGTCGTCGTGGTCGTCGTAGTGGTCGTCGACGTTGCGGACGTCGTCGTCGTCATGGTCGTCGTTGTCATCATCGTCGTCGTGGTCGCCGGCGTCGTGGTAGTCGTCGACGTGGTCATGGTCGTCGTGGTCGCCGTCGTCGTGGTCGACGTGTTCGTCGTCGTGGTCGTCGTTGCCGGCGATGTCGTCGTCGTTGTTGTCGTCGTCGTTGTCGTCGTCAGCATCGTCGTCCCACGTCGTCGTCACCGTCGTGGTCGTCGTCGTCGTTGTTGTCGAAACCGTCGTCGTCGTCCCACGTCGTCGAAACCGTCGTCGTCGTCGTCTTGGTCGTCGTCAGCGTCGTGGTTGTCGTCGTCGTCGTGGCCGTGGTCGTCGTCTCGTCATCGTGGTCGTCGTCGTGGTTGTCGTCATCGTCGTCGTGCTCGTCGTCGTCGCCGCCGTCGTCGTCGTCGTGGCCGTCGTCATCGTCGTCGTGGTCGTCGTCGTTGGCGTCGTCGTCGTGGTCTTGGTCGTCATCGTTTCCGTCGGCATCGTCGTCGCCGTCGTCGTGGTCGTCGTCGTCGTGGTCGGCGTCGTGGTCGTGGTCGTCGCCGTTCATCATTATCATCATCTCCATCATCGTCGTCGTCGTGGTCGTCGTCGTGGCCATCGTCGTCGTCGTGGTCGTCGATCGACGTCGTCGCCGTGGGCGGAGGTGCCTATCACGAGGCGGAGGGCGTCCGCCCCGCCGCGGGCGGCCCGCACGGCGGCGGCCGCGGTGACCAGGGGTACGCTGGCCAGCCCGTCGGTGTCCCCGTGGAAGGAGCACAGCAGCCAGCTGCCCGCCTTCCGCGCGGGGCCTGACTACCTACCAGACCACCCCAACCCAACCCGACGACCCCAATTTCGGGTTGGGAAGGTACGGGTTCCATATGTGTTTTTTCAATGTTCCCCGACCCCCCCCCCAACTGGAAATGGAGGGCAAATTGAGGCCTTCGGCTTGGGTTGGGGTGGTTTGGTGGGTGGTGAGGCTGGGGGTGGGGGGCAAACGCAAGACGAAGCCGGGGCGAAGAAAGAACACGGCCCTGCCGCTTCCAGGGCAGACTACGGTCAGCCCGCATCGCAGGAATGGGCCACCTTGCCAAGGGTACCCTTTCATCTGGGCCTCCTCGGTCCATCCTCGGCCACTTTCGTTGGCCGCGCCCCGCTCGAAAAGCTTCGACATGGGCGTCCAAGGCCGTTGCATCCTTATCGCGCCTCCTTATGCTACGAGCCGGCTGTAAGCCGAATCTAGGACGAAGATACAATCGGGTGAAGATGAATCGAGAATCTCTGACATCTGGCCGTTTGGGAGGATGCATCGAGCGCTGCGGCCTTCTCGGAGCGTTCCGGCACGCTCTGACAGCGTTCTGGAACGCTCTGGAACGGATTTATCCTCGTCCTAGCCCTGGGCCCTGGCTTTCGCGATGCTGCAGTTCTTGTTCGCGACGTCGGATCTCCAGGGGAGTGTGCGTCGGATGGGATTCTGGGTCACCTAACTTCGCGCATCGCTGGGGCAAAGAATCCCAGCGTACGCTTCCGAGGCACTGCAGGGGCGCGTGTGCACGAATCCCCTTCTAATGCATATGTGTTTCACGTAGCGCCGTCTTCTTGCCGATGCGCCGTCCAGGCGCGGCTCACTTCGCGCATCGAGCATCGCGGCCCGCGACGCGCGAGCGTCCCCGTGAAAGGAGCAGAGCTGCCAGCCTCCCGTGCGTGGTGGAGGCTCGCCCCCAGCCCCCTATTCGGGTCGAGGCTCGGGGTCTTCGGGCGGTTCTCACGGGCTCCGGAGGGTTGCCCAGCCTCAGGACGCTTGCCAGCAGCTGCGTCTAGCAGAGAGGCGCCCGTGGGGAGGTCCCCGAAAGGCCGCCGAAGCCCGAATAATGACCCCAACACCTGCCCTCTCGCGTCGCAAAAAAATCACGACCGAAAAGATTGTTCGCCATCTTCAGCCTCGAAGAATCCTCACCCGGCCTCAAGACCGTGAAGCAAAGACTCGGGATGAAAATCCGGGCCCCAGGAAGGGTCGGGTCTACGAGCGTGGGTCTGGGTCCACACCATAGCCCAATGAAGAGGACGAGGAGGACAAGAGGAGGAGGAGGAGGAGGAGGACGAGGACGAGGAGGAGAAGGCCGAGGGAAGGAGGAGGAGGAGGAGCATGAGGAGGAGGACCAGGAGGAAGAGAAGGACGCGGAGGACAGACAAGAGGGAGGAGGAGGAGGAGGAGGAGGAGGACGAGGAGGACAAGGAGGAGGACGAGGAGGACAAGAAGAGGAGGACATGTAGCGGCCGCCACCGCTGAAGCGACAAAGTTGTCGCCCCCGCTCAGGGAGAGGATGACGCGACCGACGGAACGAGGATGAGGCGGGCAGGAGAAATGAGGACTCGGGGAGAACACGGCTCAGTGGCCTACCTGCACCGAGCCGCCTGGCGCTCGGCCAGCGCGCCCCCGTGTTCCTTGAAATTCGGCTTCTGGGTGGGGCAGCGGAACCTGTCCACATCCGCTGCTCCCTGGCCAGGCCCATCCTGAGCCAAGGAGGAGGAGGAGGAGGAGGAGGAGGAGGAGGAGGAGGAACACGCCCTCCTGGCTTGGCCAGGAGGGCGTACACACGGCTTCTGGGCCCAGGTGGGGCCCAGTCAGGGGGGCAGAGGGTATATGAAAAGATGTCGTCGCCCGATCTGGGGTGCGTCTTCGGGCTCCAGAGCCATCAAGAATGGATCTGGGGCGAATCGGGAATGGGCAGAACCCCCTTTAGTTAAACGTGATTTAGTGAAACGACCTCGGATCCAGACCAGGCGAGCGCAAGCCTGGACAAAAACGACGGCCGCGGCGCCCTCTCCAGAGCCGAAAACGGACAATTCACGAATCGACGTGTCAGGGTGGAGGATCTGTCCACCCCCGAGCGAAACGAGACCCAGCAATAGAGGCCTCCTACATGGGGTCCGAGTAGATGGGGTCGGAGGATCTCGCCGCATCGCCGATGCATCGGCAATGCATGGCCGATGCATCGGCCATGCAATGGCGACTTCGCCGATGCATCGGCGACCTCGGCGTGGAGAAAATTGGGCCCCGCACCGAGCCGCATCGCCGATGCATCGCCGCTGCATCGGCGATGCGGGGCGTTCCTCCGACCCCATCTATTCCGACCCCAGCTAGGAGGCCTAGAGTTAAGTCGGGCGTGTCCCCCTACAGGGGGATTCTGGGCGAAAAATAAGACATACTCGAAACGTACCCTCGAATGATCAAAACTACTCAAAAAATCGTCCCAAGACTATTTTTTTACTATTTATGAATCGTCCCCCTGTAGAGGGAAAGGCCCGACTTAAGCCTGGAAGTAAGGCGTCGGGCCCTCTGGGCCCGCGGATTGGACAGCATCGCCGGGCGTCTGGGCTGCTCAACGAGAGGAGGGGGCACGCAGGCGGGGGACGGGCTCGGGGGAGAGGAGGAGGGAGGGGGAGGACGAGGGGGAGGAGGAGGAGGCGGAGGAGGAGGAGGAGGAGGAGGAGGATGAGGATGAGGAGGAGGGGGAGGAGGAGGAGAGGGAGGAGGAGGAGGAGGA